CTCTCTCTCTCTCTCTCTCTCTCTCTCTCTCTCTCTCTCTCTCTCTCTCTCTCTCTCTCTCTCTCTCTCTCTGTGTGTGTGTGTGTGTCTGTGGGCTTCTCGTTCCTCCAAGAACCTCCCCTCCTTGCTGGCACTGGCACTTCCTCCTTGCTGTTTTGGTCACAGGGCGCTGCTGCTAATGCTGCTTCCCTGCTCATGCATTGAAGCAGCCTGGCAGCGTCTACTGGCCAGGATGTGTGTCGCGCTGCCCAGCCTCTTCCTTTATTGCCAGGCCAGGATGCCAACAGGCTAGTGCAGCCTGTCAGGACCCAGGTCGTTCAGTCCCAACCCCAACTTGGCCTGGCCTGGCCTTTTCGGAGACCTGCAGGGCCTCTCACTTTCAGGCTTTCGCTTAAGGCCAAGCCTGGGAGGCCCTGGAAGCATCACACCTGTCTAATCTTCCCTCACAGTCCTTTGGAAGACGAGATCAACTTTTCTTTTTAACGTTACCTAATAAAATTTAAAACACAGGTGAGCAGTGAGCACAGTGATACAACCCTCCAGAAAAAATTGACTAAACATGGCAAGCAGGCCCTCGGGGATGGCTCTCAGGTCTCTTCTGCACTCTAGCCAATTTGTTAACTCCGCCTTCCTGCCTCATCTGCATGCATTTCGCCCCTTCCAAGAAGGACAAGCTATTCTTGCGGCCACGATCCGGAGCCTTTCGCATGAGAAGAACATGTGTAGCAAAAATCGACAACACAAGGCGGTGAGGGGACGCTCATGAGCCATGGCAAGAAACATCATGGAAATACATTGTATTGCATGTTCACACTTGCTGCATGAATTCACTCCGAAACATGACCAGATTCAGTCGAAAAAGTCCCAGCATAGACGATACACTCCAAATCCAACAGGTGCATGTTCATACACTCCAGAGACTTCGAGCATTCTTCATTCCGCCTTAATCTCCTGCGTAGAGGAATCCCAGGAAAAGGTCGAAACTTTCGAAGTCTTTTGGGGCGTGAAATTTCCACCCTTGTCTACCACGCAAACATATGAAAGAGAAGCGAGTAGACCAAGATTCCTCCAGGCAAAGGCAAGAGAACAGCATAAACAAAACAGCTTGGGCATCGAACGCATCATGACTTTCGTCAGATTTGCACACATGCATGCGCTCCTCCACATTCCTAGAGTGTCTTGACTACACACGCCTCTCTGCTCCACTAAACCTACTGTGCCAGAAATACACTGTTTTGCATGTGCACATCATTTACGCATAGACATTGCTGTCTGAGTAAGCTCTCTAACTCCGCACGCATATGGAGCTGTGTTGCCGGCATTGTAAGCAGTAGACTACAGCAGTAGCAGCAGGCCACTGAGGGCAGTAGACCCCACAGTAGTAGAACAAACCCATACCCTCAAACGCGCTTGAGGCCTGCGAGCATACATGAAGACAAATAACCAGAGCACCCATCCTAGAGAAAGCGAACAACCTTCATGACGCAGCACACAGCCTGATGCTATGACGATATGTCATCTGAAGCTTCGAGGATATGTCAGCGACGACTCTAAAGCTCTGCAAGTCTTGCTCTGCTTTTGCTGTCCTTGTTCATAAACGTGCCAAGCTAAGCTAGGTCTGATCATGTGATCATATAACAAGTCATTTTTCGTTGCAGTTCCAGACCACTCACAGACATTTAGAAAAACTTCCATGGCTTCAGTTGTAACTCGTAAGACACTAGCTCCAGGCCCCCCCACAAAAGGAGGACGGACGGCAACAGCTTCCCTCAGGTTTGCATGAAACCTCAAAATATGAGTCCGGAAAGAACAGACAGACAGACACAAGGCGTTCATTCAACCATTGGAGTCAGGCCACACATAAGAAAGGGCATGAGGCAAGCTGCTGAAAAGCATGAAGCACACAGTAGATTTACTCACACCTTGTAGAGAATCAAGCTGTGCAGCCAATCTTTCACCCTCTCGCCTTCTTTTCGCAAGTGTTCTCGCTTCTTCTCTTCAGGTTGCAGCCGCCGGTGTGAGAGGGTTGCTTGTTGCTCTCCTCTCTTTCCTCCTCTTGGGGCAATGGTGCCTACCTCTTCCTCCCCTTTGCTCTGCCCCCAATGTTCCCTTCCTTGTGCAAAAAGTCCAAACCTTTCTGCATCTCCTCTTCTGATGCAAAGCACAGAACCTGAAGTCAGAACGTCACTCTCACGCACCTGCACAAACACGGACAGAAAATGGGAGGCAGGGAGGAAATGCCGGCACAGTGAATCAGTGACTGAGGACATTTGATTCATAACTTCCCACCAGTTACCTCCACAAGGGCCTGCTTAGGTAATTTTGCCTGGATGAGCTCCCAATTAGAGGCCATTCTGGTTGGGCGAACACTCAGCTAGGGGTACTACTCCTTAGGCACCATCTAGAGGTACCACCTACAGACCCCAGTTACGGGCACTGACTTGGCACGACCTAGATGCCCAGCCTGGGCACCGGATCAAGCCCCCCTTAAGCACTGATTAGGTCTGCCCAGGTGGTGCTGCCTAGACCGGCCACGTGCTGAAGGAGCGAACAAAGGGATGGGAGGGAGGGCGAGTGGCCTATTTGTTTTGTTTTGTTTTGTTTTGGGGGGGGATGGCCTATTTGTATGTAAGTAGGTTGGTCTAGTATTCAATCTTACAAAAAAAATTACATGATGATAGCTTTCTTATTTCTGGAAGCTTTCATGATTGCTACGTTTTGCATGCTCGATCTTCTACTTTTTAATGTGTGTTTGAAAGTGTTTTTATCCCTATGTTTATTATCATAGGGGTATGGGGTTCTCGACAGAGAAAAAAAGGAGCAGCATATCAGATTTTCTTACATACTTTACTTGGATCCGTTTGTTTGCTAATGAAAATCGAAACAAATGGAGGTACGCCCTTACGGACATCGGTTAAAATTGGAATGATACAGAGAGGATTAGGATGGCCCCTGCTCAAGATGACACGGACAGGGCAGCGCACAGGACATGGCCACCCAACCTCGTACCGCTGAGTAAGCAGGACTCCTTGATAAAGTCTTCATTTAAACCCACAATTGGAGGGTCAATCTCCATTACACGGCATCCTTGCCCACATGCTCTTTACCTGCTTGATTGGCTCCCGTCTCACCTCATGTCTTGCCGCTCACGCATGTGGCTGCCCATAGCTCACTCGCTTGCTCACTCACTGCCCATGCTGTCCTGGATATGGCCTCCTGGCTAAAAGCTCACTCACTCACTAGTTTGTGCAATCACTCACATCCATATATGATAGGTAATCAGCTTCCACCCGCACGCATACATCTATATCAGACAACTTCCAAGAAAACTTGTCACCATGAAGGGATGCTCAGCCTCCTTCGTGCAGCAACAGAATGACCTGACGTTGCTCTTAGCTTCAACCTGGCCCCCAAAGAGTGTTGCAACTAATGATCCGAGATTCCCCAGCATATATATCTATATATCGTCAAATAGAACTGCCCGGTAAACCGTAGGCAGAGAGGGAGAAGAGGACAACAAACGAGGGGCTGTGACAAACTGTTTCGTCGGAGTTTCACCGACTCATC